CAAACGAAAAGCCTTATAAATGTGATATTTGTGGTCACATGTCTAGGTGGGTATTTAAGTGAACAACAAGAGTTAGAAAAATGCTTTGGTGATTCAATATTAATGAATAAATTAACTAGTAAATGTAACATAAAAAATTGTAATGATTGTTTTGCAGGACAAGAGACGACTTAAAAAAGAATATGGTGGCAATGCATCAGGATAATAAACGATTCAAATTTAATAAGGATCTATACACTGGAGGTGTATCATACGTATGCAAAACGTGTAAGAAAGAGTTTAAGAACAAAACGACTTTCTATACGCATGAGAGAATTCATAAAAGCGAAAAACCCTATCAATGCGAGCTTCGTGAATTTAAAAGTGTGTGAGTATCTGGAGACATGGTAGTGTCTCGGCGCTAAGCCAAGTGTTTAAGTTAACAACAGGAGCTAGGAAAATATATCGGTAATTCAATATCAACGATTTAATTAACTGGTAAAAAATAGTAAATAATACAATGGTCTATTAACAGTAAAAAGGAAAACCTAACACGTCACGTGAGATCAGTGCACAGAAATGGTGAACGTTTCAAGTCTAATAAGAATCTATATACTGGAGGTGTATCACACAAATGCGGAACGTGTAATAAAGAGTTTAAGAAAAAATGGAATTTGAATAGACATGTGAGAACTCATACAGGCGAAAAACCTTATCAATGCAAATTATGTGAACATAAATTTAGGTGAGTATTTAAGTGAACAACAAGGGTAAAGAAAATAAGTTGGGACAACAATACCGATGATTAAATTAATAGATAAAAAAAATAAATATTACAACGGTCGCATTGCAGTCGAAAGGAACACCTAACACATCACGTGAGATCAGTGCACAGAAATGGTGAACATTTAAAGTCTAATAAGGATCTATACACTGGAGGTGTACCACACAAATGCAAAACGTGTAATAAAGAGTTTACGTTAAAATCGAGTTTGAATAGACATGTAAGAATTCATACAGGCGAAAAACCTTATCAATGCAAATTATGTGAACATAAATTTATGTGAGTATTTAAGTGAACAACAAGGGTAAAGAAAATAAGTTGGGACAACAATACCGATGATTAAATTAATAGATAAAAAAAATAAATATTACAACGGTCGCATTGCAGTCGAAAGGAACACCTAACATGTCACGTGAGATCAGTGCACAGAAATGGTGAACGTTTAAAGTCTAATAAGAACCTGTACACTGAAATTGTATCATACAAATGCGGAATGTGTAATAACGAATTTAAGAGCAAAGCGCATTTGTATATTCATGAGAGAACACATATAAACGAAAAACCTTATCATTGTGAGTTTTGTGGAGATATGTTTAGGTGGGTACATCATTGAATACCAAGAAAAAAAGAAATTATTTAGTAATTCGTCCTATATACTTAAATTATGTTGTAACAAATGACACATTTAACTTTATAGACATATTCGATCTCTAAAACAGCACAAATTTGTGTTTCATTAAAATAATTAACGTTATTACGAATCTAATGAATGTGAAAAGATTTCCCAGACTTAATGGTACTTGGTTATCATGTGGACTCGAAGCACAAACATAAAAGACAACATCCCCTTGCAAGGTATGTCCTTTAATATTATCGCAAACAACAAATGCAGGGTTAACAACCAGTTGTGTAACGAAGAAACGTTATTATTTTTCAACACAATGAAGAAATTACAACAAATGTGACGCTCGAATCATTATCAATGTCACAGTAAATTATAATTATGAAACTATTTGAAATTAACAAAATTTTTCGGTAACTCAGTCCTCATATTTGTTACAGTCGCGAGTATATAAATTAGAATAGTCAAAGTGATAAAATGTTAAATGTCCATAAATAAGAAGCGGACATAGTCTTATTTGATAAAATTTTAAGAATCTATGAATAATAAAGGAGAACTCAGAGTTGAAAGAAACATTATAGACATAAAATCATTAATTTTAGAAATGTGAGCAAGTTTGCAATCGAAGTGTTAAAGAGCAAGTGATTTTGTCGATGTTAGATAACGTATAGGTACGTATTGATAATAAATTACGTTATCTGACATCGTCGAAATCACTTCATTTCTCTTTGTCGTTTTATACTTATAGAGCTTTCTATTATATACTTAATATTATTGTTTTTCATTTCTTTCTCACTTAAACTTCTTCGTGTTTATGCATCTACACATTAATTAAAAATATGTTAGTATTATATTTGTATTAAAGTCTTCGTTATCAAATTCAAACAGTCACAAAGCTGTAAATATGTTGATAAAAATAACACTTTCTCGTTTGTAAAAGGAATCTTTAAGGAAAATCACTTCAATGAACATTAAAGGAAATCAAAATTTTGTATCTTCAACCGAATTTATTCATTCATAAAAGAATTATAAAATCAATTATAATATTCTTATCCTTTTTCACTTCTATTGTATATAATAATAACGCAATTAAAAAATGTGTAAAGAAGCCTCTGTTGAATTGAATTATAATATTTAAATGGCAATTAGAAAAATTCTTTTTTAAATTACTACTTAGACGTTTCGAACGTGAATAAAATCCTTTTCAATCCAATTTGTCCTTATAAAAATCTAATGTACATGATAGGTTTTACATAGAGAAGGTATTCATGTGAAGTTGTACATAGCAAACAAATCTCTAGAATGTATGTAACGACATCTACTTCTCACATGTACATTAAATTTTATATAAGGACAAGTTGTATTGAAAAGTATAGTATTAACGATCGAAATGTCTAAGTTTTAATTTAATAAACAATTTTCTACGCTGTACATTCAGTGTCCGGCTCTGAATGGCATTTTATATATTATGACGTAATAATAACATTATGATATAATATTGTAATATACCACAAGGTGTTTAACATTTATGGTGTCCAGAACTAAAATGTCGATATTTCTGGGGGTATGTAGGGCATTGATAAATTATGAAAGAAGATCCCGTAAAAATATGGTCGTCTTTACTGCGTTTTGGAGAAAGTCATAAAAATGTAAGAACGTTGTTATTTCTCTCTGACGTAAAGGAGTAATGTTTTGACTATTTTAACCATATGTCCTCATAATACAGGATGTTTTTGTGGAGGTGCATAATGCATGAAATTACATCGTCGACAATTAACATACAACAATTAACAGATGAAATCGCCGAATCGAAATCGCAATGTCTGTCCGAAAGACAGTGATTTCGTCATATTTAGTGCATTGCGATTTCGATTCGGACTTTCATCTGTTGTTGTATGTTATTTGTCTACGATGTAATTTCCTGCATTATGCACCTCCACAAAAACATCCTGTATTATGAGGACTGTCCGTACCGACAATATGCTTGCTTGTCTGAAAGAAACAAGAAACCATTACTTTAAATAATATCTAAAACACGCAAACAAATAAATAAAGCATAAATAAATTTAATAAATAGAAGAGTGTAGAGATGTCTTTGTAAGATTTGCTCCTTTTGCGAGATTCTCCAGAACTAAGTAAAACTGGCATATTCTTACAAGTATTTTTCGTAGTTTATCGATTTCTAAGCGTTACCAAAGTTTTGACGTTTAATTTGTATAGACTCTGTAAGAAAAATTGTTTATTTTTTAGGATCGCGTGTTACAACCATAATGTCATATCAATGAACCGCGACGGACAAGAGTATAAGAAATTAAATACAATTACAAGTACTCCTAATAAGAGTAATGCGTAACAACGTTGAAAGAAGTTGAGGATAGGGATACAACATTTATACGAGATATAATCTCACAGGTAGCAGATATCCAGTGGATATAATTTTAGTACGAGATACTCTAATTTATTTAGTCGTGTAAGCAGCACCCTTAGGTGCGCATATTATTTCTTAGAAGTAAAATCAGCCACTGAGGTGGAATCGAATCGATATTGCTTCATCTGTCATCCCTTTTTAATGTTATATCGTGCATGTTCTTTATAAATTTTAAAGGTATACGATATTTTGTCAACGTTTCGTTAAACAAATCAATCCTTTTTCAAAGATTTATTTTAAAAAAATTTACATACCGTGACGTCAAACTGATCTTAATCAATTTCAAATCGTATTGTGCATTCAGGATATATTACACATATTCTAGAAATTCAGTTGTATATCTTATTAGGAGGAATTTTATTCTCTAAAATTTTATCATGTTAATATCGTATATTCTTGCACTATTAATGGATGATTGTATATATATGCCTGATAATACACTGCGCAACAAAATTAACGCAACACTGTTTCACTATGCAAAAATAGGCAAACTTCAAGATAACATAACTTCGTCAAAAATCATCGTATCGAGATGTTTAAAAATGCATTTTACAGCTTGAAACCTCTACTTTTCGGATCTTTTCTTGAAAAAGTGGTCTCACGGAGATTTTATAAAGTTACACGAACATAAATGAAGATATATCAGATCTTTGAATTTTTTATGAAAATTGAATGTTCCACTGGGCGGACCAAAAATTGTACGCTAATGCGATTTACATCGTTCGAAAGAGCGAATCTTTACCTTTCATTTATTTGTTTTACGAAGCTTCGTACGATTTTTTTTCACCGAATTATTCAACGTTGAAGCAAAAGAGTGCATTTTTGCTTCAACGTTGAATAACTCGGTGAAAAAAAATCGTACGGAGCTTTATAAAAAAGCAAATTAAAGCTAAAGATTCGCTCTTTCTAATGATGTAACCCGCATATGTGCACAATTTTTATTTCGTGCGATGGAACTTCTCAAATTTCGTAAAAAATTGTTAGGTTGACGCACTTTTATTTATGTTTATGTAACTTCACGAAATATCAGTAAAATCGTTTTTTCAAGTACCGATCTGAAAAGTAGAGATTTTAAGCTTTAAAATGCTTTTTCAAATATCTCGATACCATGATTTTTGACGAAGTTATGCTATCTTGAAGTTTGCCTATTTTTGCATAGTGAAACAGTGTTGCGTTAATTTTGTTGCGCAGTGTATATCAACATTAAATAAAAGTTTTTATTATTATATTTGGTTATAGCACAATATTATACGTATTTTAAAAGTTTTATTTTAGCAACATTGACTGTCAAAACCTTTTTTTTTATTATTTTGTTGACACAAATTGCAGTAGTACAAAAAATTATAATGAATGCAATAGTTACATTTTTTGACTCTTTTAAAGAAAATATACTATGAATACTACTTAAACGGACATATAACATCCATAGAATAGCATCACATAAATTATCACCGACATAATTTATAATAATTTATTTTAACAGAGTTAATTATCTGTTAGATTGTAAGATAAAAATCAGTTAGATTGTAGTGTCAATTTAACTAAAGTGATATTACCGCGGTAGTTAATACGTATGCGTCAATGCTGAAAATCCATCAGCGTCGCGAGGAGGACTACATACGCGGTACATAATTTCACACAATTATAATTAACATTAATATCCTGTTACAATGACTCGATTAGGCATTGTCACTTTCTAAGAGTTAATTATGTTTATGTGTCATTCTAGTATCATTTTACGCCTATAAGAATTGACGTATAATATTGATAAAGCGTTCAAAGTGCAAAACATTCCAGCTCTCTCTATTTATTTCTATAAGTAACTTTAATGTAATATTGTTGTAATTAATACTTTAATTTACGTCCTCGCTTGATTAAATGTAGTACGTTATCACAAATTAAAGGCTATAAAACTTTCTTGAAATTGAAGCTGTACACATTGTACAATAGACGTTGAAACGCTTTTACAGTTGCAGTGACATTGATGTTTCAGTGTTTAGACGTGAGCAATTATGAGTTATACTTTTATGTGTGTCATGTACACAAAGTTCATAAAAATGTTGCAATTTCCTTTGTAAGGATCAAACTAATTTCGATATTTTTATTAAAGATGAAATTACGATGATGAAATTTGAAACTATGATTATGAAAAATTGTCTTACGATTTTCAAACTTCTGACTTAGAATAAATAATATGTTTAAAATTATTGATTTGTCACAAACATTTGTCAGTCAATTTTATGAATCGTTGAATAACAATGAGTTGTGTTAGGCTGAGTATATCTGTGTTCATTTCTTCCGAGTTTGCTTCCAGCAATTTACATGTACAGACAACAGTTTTCTATCAATGGAGAAAATTGAATGCGAGGGTACCGTAAATAAATCCACGGGATTAAATACTGAGTGATATCATCGCGATCGTACGATTTTAAAAATAGATGCAGTACTCGCGTATAACATTGTAAGCATTATTTGTGCTCTTCTCTGATATCCGATAGATCCATATATTGAAATTGTAACGTGTTAACCCTTTCCGGCACACATTTTTCTGATGAACCATTTTTCATGAAACTGGGTACTCGGGGGTTTTTGAGGTCACTGATTACGAATCTGAATTCAGATTTTAGAAATTCAAAATGGCGGATTCAAGATTTTATATTCTTTTTATTTTTTATTTTTTTTTTCAATTATTTTGTTTAAATTCTTATGGCAGATTCGTGATCAGCGACACCGAAAACCCTTATATACTAATTTTCGCTACCCTATCATCCTTCTTTCTCTTTGACACACATTCTTTGTAAAATAATTATGAAATTCCGAGCTATATTTATTTATATAAATAAACAAATGAGCAACAAACACATTAAAGCCAAGGAAATCACATCTCTAAAATATATAAAAGTCAATGAAAAAAAAACTGCCTTCATATAACGTGATTTGAGCTCCTCATTAAAAAAAAAAATCGATCGAAAAAAGTGTTCGCTACAGCGAACACTATGCCGCAAAGAGTAAAAAGTTACATAACGATATCATGTAATTAATGTTAAATACACTATCTTTGAAAATCCCGTTATTAAAAAGTTATGTGGTATTACAAATAATTACAATAAATCATGCAATTATATACATATGTGAATACATCTTTATAAGAAAGAATTATATATATATAATTAAAATAAAAGAAACTTATTGACGTAATGATATTTTAAATTATGTGGCTGAATTACACAATATGTGATGTAACCTTTTCACATGACTTTTTTTAGAATGGTTTTCAAAGTTTTAATTCATACATGATACGTGGAATGACGTTTTCGGCGGTTGAGCATAAAGAAGAAGCATTAAATGTATTAAATCGTTTTAAATAATTTAATGTTGGAATAGAAAAATATATATCACTCTAGGAATTGAATAAGAAAATATTTTAAAAAGTATAAATATGTATGTACTGATTTTAGAGGTTTCATATTTATTATAATTAATAGTTTGTATAATAGAGATTTGGGATATACTTTTTTGCATTTCGAATATATTTTTTAATATATATGTATTACGACAATTTACTTTGAAGATAATGTCTAATAATGTTTTTTGTATATGTAGCAATTTGGTAATTTTGTATATCTATTAGAAGATATATTATACAATTATTGTATCCAATAAAATAATACAATTTTCTGGTATCACGTTATATTTGACGTATAATAAATAACTGAATAAAATTTGTTATCTTTATTGAAATTTTAACATGTACATGTATTAATTCTTTAATAAAAACAATAATTTAAACGTAACCCTTGTCGTATTAACCTTTCGACATAACGTAATGTTTTGCTTTAGAAATATTTAACACGCAATTTAACACATTAATTTTACATTTATAATTACGATTGCAAATCGTTATACAGAGTGACCCATTTTAACCTTTAATGGAGAATATCTCGAAAACTAAATTCAATAGACAAAAATGGAATCAAATAAAAATAGAACGGTGTCGAGGGGCACACGTTTTAGTCACGTTGTTTTTCTTCTAAGTGGAGGCGCTAAAAAGGTATGAAGGTCACCTCCACTTTTTTAAATGGAATAATGTAATTTTTTTTTAGATAACGTGATTCCTCTAATTATTTTGCATATAAAAGTATTAAGGTAGAGATATCAAAAAACCAATAGTTTTCGAGATATTTTACACTTTATTTTGATCAGATACATATTGACACAAAATGTTAAATAACTCGTAAACTGTTGACTTTTTGATTATCGTACCTTAATACTTTTGTGAACAGAATAATGAGATAAATCAAATGGTGTAAAAAAAAACACATAGTTGCGTATTTAAAAAATGTTAGTTTACTGGCGATTCTTACGAAAATTGGAATTACATTCTGCTGTAAGGTGCTCGATATTGCTTATATTACGGTAAGGTGTTACTTAGAAAATTACATCAACATTTAAATTTTCTTTTTTGCTAGAACGATGTGTAATATAATTTCAATTATAATATGTTTTGTAATTTAAATTAATGCCAGGATTAGACCATTTCCTTTAAGGAGAAACAGAAAATAAGAGGTGATTAAATTTCCAAAAAAACATATCTCCGAAGATTATTCGATTTCTGAAACCATAATGCAAAATGTCTTGTCGGTTCTCGAAAGAATCATTTATAAGAATACATAAGTATATATCTTTATTGTATATGAAAACATATGTGTATAATAGATATCCGTAGAAGACCTTGGATCAGTCGTTCCCAAGACATTGACGTGCTTATTTGTCAGCAAACAATTTCAAATTCAAACGTACCATTTGCTCTTGATCTATACATCTAACTTTTATAATATTTCAATAAAAGTAATTAAATCATTAAAAAATAAGTTATTAAATCATAAAAGTTAAATAAATCTTAATTAAATAAATCTAACAACCAACCAACGTCAGAGAGGTGACTTTATAATTTTAAATACTTGTAACTAACATAAAGTATTTATAACTAATTCTATTTGACACAGCTTTCTGTTACAATCTTATTACTTTTCGTGACTGCTATCAGTTTATTATAATTTAATTTTAATTAAAATTACTACTGTTTTTTTAGGATTTCTTATAATTTAGGAAAAGGTTAAACATTAATGTGACTAATTATATTTAGAACGTGTAAACTACGAAAGTAATATAAAGAACGTTACAGTAAAGTGAATTAAAAAACACCCCTGAATTTGAGAGTTGATGAAAAGATGAATCAAAATGAAGAAACGGATAACGATACAAAAGATATACATCAACAGCGCGGTAAGAAATATATAGTCCCTAAAAATAATTCTTAGTTTTATTAATACGTTTGTGAATAAGGTTTGCTCCTTTTGCGAGATTCTCCAGAACTAAGTAAAACTGGCATATTCTTACATGTATTTTTCGTAGTTTATCGATTTCTAAGCGTTACCAAAGTTTTGACGTTTAATTTGTATAGACTCTGTAAGAAAAATTGTTTATTTTATTTTTCAAACTTTTAATTCAAACAACATTTTATAAAATTACATAAATAAACAGGAAGATGCAACAAATTTCAATACTTTTAACGAAATTTGCGAAAATTTTACGTTATGGACAAGAGTATAAGAAATTAAATACAATTACAAGTACTCTTAATAAGAGTAATGCGTAACAACGTTGAAAGAAGTTGAGGATAGGGATACAACATTTATACGAGACGCGAATTAAAAATGTTTACTCATGCGGTTTAAACCAATTGAAAGGATAAATCTTGGTATTTAAATTTTCTTTTATTCGTAATCTGTACTATTTTATTTTTCTGAATTATTGGACGCTGATGTAAAAATAAACATTTTGCTTCAACATTGAATAAATCGTTGAAAAAAATCGTACAGGTCTACAAAAAAGAAAATTACATAAAAAACGATTCTATCATTCGGAAGCCTTGAAACACAATTGTGCATAGTTATCATTTCGCACCGTGCAACTTCACCGTATAAAACTTTAAGATTTGATGATTCTATATTTGTGATACTGTAACTTCATGAAATATCAGCAAGACATTTTTGGAAGTGACGGTGTGAAAGGTAGAGAACATGATTTAAAAAGGTTTTTTTAAACATTTCGATATTATCTTTTACGAAGTTATTCTCTTTCGAAGTTAGCCTGTCCTTGCAGATAATGCTTTAATTGTGTTGAGTCGAGTATGTCAAAAATTATAAGAATTATTGTCAATGAAATAAAAAGGCAATTAAGAGTCAATATTAATTGTGTGAACTAATAAAACATTTAATATATTATAAATTAAAATAAAATATCAATAAATTCACACTTTAAAAGCGCACGCAAACATAAGTCAAATCATAACGTTTCGGCTGCATATTCGAGCCATCCTCAGATGAACATATAAATATTAATTAACGCAGTAAAACATCTTTAGTAAACGCAGAAAAAACAAGAAAAATACTATGATGGATTGTTATGTTCTAAAACGTTGAGTATTTCACCGAGAGAACAATTTAGCTCATCAAGCGATTGGAAGATCGTTTGTGATGTATCCCTGTGGTACTAATAAGGACACAAAATTAACATTGACTCTTAATTGCCTTTTTATTTCATTGACAATTTTTAATACTAAGAGTCCTGTATATTCGTTTTATTATAAGAATTATGTTACCTTGTTCATTTTTTTTCATAACAAGTTCTTTCTTTAATTTTAAGATGATCGCTCTAATTCCCCGACAACTTCAAATCAGGAGAATAGAAAAATACATGAAATTAGACGACATATATGCGGAACGTGTGAGAAAGGATTTAAGTCTAATTCCGTTTTGCTTCGTCATGAGAGAATTCATACAAACGAAAAGCCTTACAAATGTGATATTTGTGGTCACATGTCTAGGTGGGTATTTAAGTGAAAAACAAGAGTTAGAAAAATGCTTTGGTGATTCAATATCATTGATTAAGTAAACAACAAGAGTTAGAAAATGCTTTGGTGATTCAATATCATGTATTAAATTAACTGGTAAATGTAACATAAAAAATTGTAACTGTTGTTTTGCAGGAGAAGAGACGCCTTAAGAAAGCATATGGTGGCAATGCATAAGGACGTTGAACGATTGAAATCTAATAAGGATCTATATACTGGAGGTGTATTATACACATGCGGAACGTGTGATAAAAGATTTGTGTGTAAAACCGACTGGTCTCGTCATGAGAGAATTCATACAAACGAAAAGCCTTATAAATGTGATATTTGTGGTCACATGTCTAGGTGGGTATTTAAGTGAACAACAAGAGTTAGAAAAATGCTTTGGTGATTCAATATTAATGAATAAATTAACTAGTAAATGTAACATAAAAAATTGTAATGATTGTTTTGCAGGACAAGAGACGACTTAAAAAAGAATATGGTGGCAATGCATCAGGATAATAAACGATTCAAATTTAATAAGGATCTATACACTGGAGGTGTATCATACGTATGCAAAACGTGTAAGAAAGAGTTTAAGAACAAAACGACTTTCTATACGCATGAGAGAATTCATAAAAGCGAAAAACCCTATCAATGCGAGCTTCGTGAATTTAAAAGTGTGTGAGTATCTGGAGACATGGTAGTGTCTCGGCGCTAAGCCAAGTGTTTAAGTTAACAACAGGAGCTAGGAAAATATATCGGTAATTCAATATCAACGATTTAATTAACTGGTAAAAAATAGTAAATAATACAATGGTCTATTAGCAGTAAAAAGGAAAACCTAACACGTCACGTGAGATCAGTGCACAGAAATGGTGAACGTTTCAAGTCTAATAAGAATCTATATACTGGAGGTGTATCACACAAATGCGGAACGTGTAATAAAGAGTTTAAGAAAAAATGGAATTTGAATAGACATGTGAGAACTCATACAGGCGAAAAACCTTATCAATGCAAATTATGTGAACATAAATTTAGGTGAGTATTTAAGTGAACAACAAGGGTAAAGAAAATAAGTTGGGACAACAATACCGATGATTAAATTAATAGATAAAAAAAATAAATATTACAACGGTCGCATTGCAGTCGAAAGGAACACCTAACACATCACGTGAGATCAGTGCACAGAAATGGTGAACATTTAAAGTCTAATAAGGATCTATACACTGGAGGTGTACCACACAAATGCAAAACGTGTAATAAAGAGTTTACGATAAAATCGAGTTTGAATAGACATGTAAGAATTCATACAGGCGAAAAACCTTATCAATGCAAATTATGTGAACATAAATTTATGTGAGTATTTAAGTGAACAACAAGGGTAAAGAAAATAAGTTGGGACAACAATACCGATGATTAAATTAATAGATAAAAAAAATAAATATTACAACGGTCGCATTGCAGTCGAAAGGAACACCTAACATGTCACGTGAGATCAGTGCACAGAAATGGTGAACGTTTAAAGTCTAATAAGAACCTGTACACTGAAATTGTATCATACAAATGCGGAATGTGTAATAACGAATTTAAGAGCAAAGCGCATTTGTATATTCATGAGAGAACACATATAAACGAAAAACCTTATCATTGTGAGTTTTGTGGAGATATGTTTAGGTGGGTACATCATTGAATACCAAGAAAAAAAGAAATTATTTAGTAATTCGTCCTATATACTTAAATTATGTTGTAACAAATGACACATTTAACTTTATAGACATATTCGATCTCTAAAACAGCACAAATTTGTGTTTCATTAAAATAATTAACGTTATTACGAATCTAATGAATGTGAAAAGATTTCCCAGACTTAATGGTACTTGGTTATCATGTGGACTCGAAGCACAAACATAAAAGACAACATCCCCTTGCAAGGTATGTCCTTTAATATTATCACAAACAACAAATGCAGGGTTAACAACCAGTTGTGTAACGAAGAAACGTTATTATTTTTCAACACAATGAAGAAATTACAACAAATGTGACGCTCGAATCATTATCAATGTCACAGTAAATTATAATTATGAAACTATTTGAAATTAACAAAATTTTTCGGTAACTCAGTCCTCATATTTGTTACAGTCGCGAGTATATAAATTAGAATAGTCAAAGTGATAAAATGTTAAATGTCCATAAATAAGAAGCGGACATAGTCTTATTTGATAAAATTTTAAGAATCTATGAATAATAAAGGAGAACTCAGAGTTGAAAGAAACATTATAGACATAAAATCATTAATTTTAGAAATGTGAGCAAGTTTGCAATCGAAGTGTTAAAGAGCAAGTGATTTTGTCGATGTTAGATAACGTATAGGTACGTATTGATAATAAATTACGTTATCTGACATCGTCGAAATCACTTCATTTCTCTTTGTCGTTTTATACTTATAGAGCTTTCTATTATATACTTAATATTATTGTTTTTCATTTCTTTCTCACTTAAACTTCTTCGTGTTTATGCATCTACACATTAATTAAAAATATGTTAGTATTATATTTGTATTAAAGTCTTCGTTATCAAATTCAAACAGTCACAAAGCTGTAAATATGTTGATAAAAATAACACTTTCTCGTTTGTAAAAGGAATCTTTAAGGAAAATCACTTCAATGAACATTAAAGGAAATCAAAATTTTGTATCTTCAACCGAATTTATTCATTCATAAAAGAATTATAAAATCAATTATAATATTCTTATCCTTTTTCACTTCTATTGTATATAATAATAACGCAATTAAAAAATGTGTAAAGAAGCCTCTGTTGAATTGAATTATAATATTTAAATGGCAATTAGAAAAATTCTTTTTTAAATTACTACTTAGACGTTTCGAACGTGAATAAAATCCTTTTCAATCCAATTTGTCCTTATAAAAATCTAATGTACATGATAGGTTTTACATAGAGAAGGTATTCATGTGAAGTTGTACATAGCAAACAAATCTCTAGAATGTATGTAACGACATCTACTTCTCACATGTACATTAAATTTTATATAAGGACAAGTTGTATTGAAAAGTATAGTATTAACGATCGAAACGTCTAAGTTTTAATTTAATAAACAATTTTCTACGCTGTACATTCAGTGTCCGGCTCTGAATGGCATTTTATATATTATGACGTAATAATAACATTATGATATAATATTGTAATATACCACAAGGTGTTTATCATTTATGGTGTCCAGAACTAAAATGTCGATATTTCTGGGGGTATGTAGGGCATTGATAAATTATGAAAGAAGATCCCGTAAAAATATGGTCGTCTTTACTGCGTTTTGGAGAAAGTCATAAAAATGTAAGAACGTTGTTATTTCTCTCTGACGTAAAGGAGTAATGTTTTGACTATTTTAACCATATGTCCTCATAATACAGGATGTTTTTGTGGAGGTGCATAATGCATGAAATTACATCGTCGACAATTAACATACAACAATTAACAGATGAAATCGCCGAATCGAAATCGCAATGTCTGTCCGAAAGACAGTGATTTCGTCATATTTAGTGCATTGCGATTTCGATTCGGACTTTCATCTGTTGTTGTATGTTATTTGTCTACGATGTAATTTCCTGCATTATGCACCTCCACAAAAACATCCTGTATTATGAGGACTGTCCGTACCGACAATATGCTTGCTTGTCTGAAAGAAACAAGAAACCATTACTTTAAATAATATCTAAAACACGCAAACAAATAAATAAAGCATAAATAAATTTAATAAATAGAAGAGTGTAGAGATGTCTTTATAAGGTTTGCTCCTTTTGCGAGATTCTCCAGAACTAAGTAAAACTGGCATATTCTTACAAGTATTTTTCGTAGTTTATCGATTTCTAAGCGTTACCAAAGTTTTGACGTTTAATTTGTATAGACTCTGTAAGAAAAATTGTTTATTTTTTAGGATCGCGTGTTACAACCATAATGTCATATCAATGAACCGCGATGGACAAGAGTATAAGAAATTAAATACAATTACAAGTACTCCTAATAAGAGTAATGCGTAACAACGTTGAAAGAAGTTGAGGATAGGGATACAACATTTATACGAGATATAATCTCACAGGTAGCAGATATCCAGTGGATATAATTTTAGTACGAGATACTCTAATTTATTTAGTCGTGTAAGCAGCACCCTTAGGAGCGCATATTATTTCTTAGAAGTAAAATCAGCCACTGAGGTGGAATCGAATCGATATTGCTTCATATTGAAAAAAATCGTACAGGTCTACAAAAAAGAAAATTACATAAAAAACGATTCTATCATTCGGAAGCCTTGAAACACAATTGTGCATAGTTATCATTTCGCACCGTATCTGTCATCCCTTTTTAATGTTATATCGTGCATGTTCTTTATAAATTTTAAAGGTATACGATATTTTGTCAACGTTTCGTTAAACAAATCAATCCTTTTTCAAAGATTTATTTTAAAAAAATTTACATACCGTGACGTCAAACTGATCTTAATCAATTTCAAATCGTATTGTGCATTCAGGATATATTACACATATTCTAGAAATTCAGTTGTATATCTTATTAGGAGGAATTTTATTCTCTAAAATTTTATCATGTTATCCTTGCAGATAATGCTTTAATTGTGTTGAGTCGAGTATGTCAAAAATTATAAGAATTATTGTCAATGAAATAAAAAGGCAATTAAGAGTCAATATTAATTGTGTGAACTAATAAAACATTTAATATATTATAAATTAAAATAAAATATCAATAAATTCACACTTTAAAAGCGCACGCAAACATAAGTCAAATCATAACGTTTCGGCTGCATATTCGAGCCATCCTCAGATGAACATATAAATATTAATTAACGCAGTAAAACATCTTTAGTTAACGCAGAAAAAACAAGAAAA